TTTCTTCTTCTTGCTTATCAAACACACACACACACAGAGGAACGTTTCACCACTAGAAACTAAAAAAGTTTTGCAAGAGATTGTGTATTTCCTCCTGATTTCATACTCACATTTTCCTAATTTTCTTGATAAAATACAGTAGAAGAATTAAATCAAGCCACTACAAGGGGATATAATTTCTTTTGGTACTATATTCTAAATACTATCTTCTCGTCTCCAACCAAATGATCCCTTCCAACCACTAGACATGCTCCACTTATCAGAATTCCCCACCGACGACACCCCGCTGCCACCACACTTGGCCACCGTCCTCACGCTCTCTATCAACGCCTCCGTACGCGCCTCCTGTGTCAGTATATCCGCCAGCTGCTCTGGATTTATCACCAGCCTTACCTTCCACACCCCGCTCCCATTATACCTAGGCATGACCTCCGCCTCCGCTCTCTTCACCACCCTTTGACTATCAAATGACACCCGATATGGCGTCCCTAACATGGCGTCGTTCTCACTGGTTTGCTTTCGTAACGTGTTGTTGAGTGGGAGTAGATAGTAAAGCTGGCCTGCGTGTAGCTGTTCGTTGTGGAGGAGCGGGGGAGATAAGAGATCGCGGCTGCGGTAGATGGCATGGCCAGGGAACTCGTTTGTTATGCACTCCGCCGTGATGGGTGCGTAAAGCTCCATGACACCGCCGCTACATGTCACAACTTTGACCATTTCTTCCACTTGTCCACATCCTTTCAACCCACAATTGCCCATTTGCAAAAACTAGAGTATTAATTCCTTGACCAAACTGAAATATGAAAACTAATCCATGATTGAATATAAATAGGGAATTTGGGGGCTTAATTATACATATTGGTATTTCATGAGGGTTTCTTTAGCCGGTGATAACCGACACAAAAAGGAATTCTTACCTTTGCCATCAGGAAATCACAAATAATGTGGCTTATTTTATAGAGTGGACTGACCCACCTTTCTTTGCTTGGATGGTGGGTAAAAGATGCACCGAGTGAGAATAGTGTGTTTGGTCAACGTTTTTTTTTTAATTTTTTTGGAACCTGTAATGTGGCTGCAGGAAAGTGATAATCAAGCATGAATTCATTCTTTACCGTTGGTTTCTAACAGTGGAGCCCACTTGTCGGTGACGCCGGCACCGAAAAATGGAGATCGAAGGGTAAAACGTTACTGCAGGATTGCCTGTGGATCTCTGTAGGATAGAATAATGTGCCATCGTTTTAATG